CAATTTGTATGCCCTTTATTTCTCTTATTTCACTATTCTGACTAAAATTTCTTTTACTTTACTGAATAAGAGCAGGGAGAATAGATACCCTTGTTCCTGATATTAGAGAAAATGTTTTTAACTTTTCTCATTTCCAGTATATTGCCTATGGCTATGTCTTGTATGGTCTTTATGATGCTGAGGTATGATCTTCCCAAACCTTATTTACTCAGGACGTTTATCAGGAAGTGATATTAAAATTATTCAAATGCATTTTCTATATCTATTAATCACATGATTTTTATCCTTCATCTGTTAATGGGATGTATTATGTTTATTGATCTGAATATGTTGAACCATCCTTGCATCTCTGGGATGGAACCAATTTGATTATGGTAAATAATTTTTATGATTCTCTGTTGAATCACATTCAGATTTACTCATATTTTATTGAGAAATTTTACATCTATGTCCATTAGGTTATTAGTCTACAGTTTCTTTTATCTTGTGTTCTTGTTGCTATGGTACCAGGGTAATGCTAGCCTCAAGGAATGGGCTGGGAATGATTCTCTCTCTTTCAAATCTTCACAACAAATTTAAAAGAAATGGAATTAGTTCTTCTTTAAAGATTTCAAAAAAATTAATCAGTAAAAGCATCTAGTCATGGGCTTTCCTCAACTTTTTATTACTGATTCAATCTCATTACTCATTATTGATCTCTTCTGGCTTATATGTTTTCATGGTTTAATTTTGGCAGAATATATGTGTCTAAAAATTTATAAATTCCTTCTAGGTTCTCTAATTTGTTGGCATACATTTTCTCATAATAATCCCTAATGACTCTTTGTATTTCTGAGGTATTGGTTGTAATGTCTTTTTTTTTCCCTCTCTTATTTTGTTTGAGTCATCTCTTTTTCTTGGTTAGTCTTATTAAAGGTATGTTCATTGCTCTTACCTTTTATGATAACCAACTTTTTGTTTCTGAAAGAACGAACAAGGCTTGTCATCAGAGAAAATGCATGTTTATTGAGGAACAGCTCTGCATATTTATAGAGCCGGGGGTGGTTTGACAATTATGACAGTTTAAAGGTTGAAGGGTTTGACAGTTGGCATGGGGTGCTTTCTGATTGGTGAGTAAGGATCATGTGGGTCAGCAGGGCTAGTCTGATTGGTGGGTAAGGATCATGTGAGCCAGCAGGCTAGTCTGATTGGTGGGTAACGATCATGTGAGCCAGCAGGGCTAGTCTGATTGGTGGGTAAGGATCATGTAAGCCAGCAGGGCTAGTCTAATTGGTGGGTAAGGATCATGTGAGCCAACAGGGCTAAGTCTGATTGGTGGGTAAGGATCATGTGAGCCAGCACGGCTCACCATTGTACGGCTCTTCTCAGGGGATGGGGAAGTTAGTCTTTTGAGTCAGGGCGACTCCCAACAGTTTCATTAGTCTTTTATACTGCTTATGTATGTGACACCCTCTCTATCTTATACATTATATAACTGAAAATTTGTAGCATTTAACCAATATTTCTTTTCTTTCTTTTTTTTTTTTTTTTGTGAGGATGGAGATGGAACACAGGGCTTGCGCATGTAAGGCAAGAACTCTACCAACAGAGCTATATCCCTAGGCTTTTGACCAATATTTTAATTAAAGAAAAACCAGCCAGTCATGATAGTGCACTCTTGTAATCCCAGAAACATGGGATCCTGAGGCAGGATGATCACTATTTTAAGGCAAGTCTCAATAATTTAATGAGACCTTTTCTAACAATAATAATAAAAGAAAGGAATGTGGATGTAGTTCAGGGATAAAGTGTCCCTGGTTTCAATCTCCAGTCCAAAAAAGAAAAACAAGATCAGCCATAATACCATAATGGTTTTACACTCTAAAACACCAAGCTCTTAATATGATAAATGATCTTAAGAATTGGTAATAAAATATAATTATCACAAATTAACCACCTAATTCTTACATCATTTACTACTTTAACTTTATTTTAATCTATCTGGTATTCACACAGAATTTGTTCAGGAAGAGTTTTCAGGAAGAATTTCTGAAATATTAAAAACATTCTACTTGAAAACTCCAAAGTCTTGGTAAAAGACTCATATCTAACTTAATATATTATACTCATTTATTTTTTTCAGATGCATGTGTAATATCAGAAGAAATCATGGAAAGATATCACATAACCTTAAGATGGAAAGAACATCAAAAGCTTTATTCTTCATCAGGGGACACAGTTGAATTTGTGTATAAATATAGATATTCTCCATCAACGTGAAATCAATCATTTCGTACAAGGTGTATTGATGGTCACCTGGAATATCCCGCTTGTATTAAGAGATACTTTAATTTAATTTAATTTCATTAAAATGTGCACTTAAATGCAGAATTTTTATTATAATCTAGTTTTCAATTTTATTTTAAAGTATTGTTTAACTAATTTTTATTCATAAATTAGAATTTGTGTTGATACCTGCTAATGTGTTTAGAATCTGAGAGGATAGAGCCGCACATCTTAAAAGCACTGCATTCAAATTTGGCAAACCAAAGTACCATGCATCCTATTCATAAAACATCTATGCAAGAAATTAGATGCAATTACTTCCATGCTTGTCTGTATCCCTCATTCTCCAAACTGAAAGTTTTCTACATAACTTTTGGGACTCTCTGAGACTCTGTTTCACAGTGCATGAAAAGATAGACTCTCCATCTTCAAAATTATAAAATTCAGAAAGATCTAAAAACCAAACTAAGTCATGACTTATTTTAGTAAAAAATATAATCAATTACTAAGTATTACTTATCCATAAGAAAATGTAAAAAGATGGCATGTGAGCTTCTAAAATATATGAATCTAGTACATTTAACAATGTAAACAAATCATAAAGAGTAATAGAAATTTAATTGGATATATAACTATAAAACTATCATAACTGTTACTATATAACTATGGAAAAATGATTGGCAGAAAATGCAATAAAATCTGTAAAAGCTATATTTATACTTGGAGTTAAGATGATTGACTTGTTTGATTCCTTTAAAAAGACAGTCTCTAAATTATGAGACAGTCTCTAAATTTTTGATTTTTTTACTTTACAGTAGTATGAAAGTGATATATATTCAGTAGAAATTGTAATTTAATCTTTTTTCTGCAACTAGAAATACATGGTAGACTACTTTTATGGTATTGGGTAACAGCAGTTCACCGCATCCAATTGGCATTGTGATTAACAAAGTAAGCAATCACTATACTACAGAGTACTGTTCTTCTAAGCTATGATATATGATAGGTTGGTATATTAAATGCATGTTCAACTTAAAATAATTTTAATTTATCATGAGTTAATCAGGATGTAACACATTATAAGTTGAGGAGTATCAACATTTATTATATTGTACAATTTTTCAACCTTTAATATACTCAGTTTTGAACTTTAAGAATAAGTTGTTTTAAGACAATAATGCCTAAAAAGCTAGGTGATAATGTGGAGAAATATAAAGGCCTTATTGGTAATGATCTCAAGGTCAAACAATGCTTTAATAAGTTTTTGTTGCAAGAATTTTTTTTCTGTTTTAAAAATTTCAGTAACAAGATTTTGAAGTGTAATTTTATGTCTTTACATTTTAGACAGCACTATTTAGTTAAAATCACTTTGGCTAGAAACATTTTTGATTTTTAAAAAGCTATAATCTTAGGATGAAAATAGAGATAAAAATATACAAAACTTAAAGGTGATAAATTGTTACCTCTTATTGCATAAAATCATAAGGCTCATATTAAATGCTTTCCTCTTGTTTGAGATCCTGATTTAGATAAATTGAGTTGAGACAGATTTTCAATTTCAATGAAATTGGTTACAATAAGCAAGTAATTCTTGTGTTTAATATTAACACCTGAATATACTTAACTCAGTTCCATTGTGCCACTATAACAAATATAATTTGTTCAGTGTGGCTTATTTTTAAAAGACATATCTTTCATACAGTTCTTGAGGTGTCCAAGATCAAGGCACCAGCTAACTTGGTGTCACAGGAGGGCTTGTTCTCTGTTTTGCAAATGGCGTCTTCTCACTAGATGAAACTAACTAGGTGGAAGTGGCAAGGAAATGCTCTAGCCTTTCCTTGTAAGGGCACTGTTTCTACTCCTGAGGATGGAACCCCATCACCTATTCACCTAAAAAGACTTCATCTTCTAATATGCTCACTGTGGTCACTAGGAATGAAACGGTGACATTTAGGGGGACACAAACATTCAGGACATAGAAGAGAATTGGGAAGGAAAAAGACAGTCCATAATACAGAACCAAAAGGCAGTAGTGGTGTTTACACTTCTATTTCACAGAGGAATTCAGCCAAACATTGTAAGACAGAGATAAAAGAAGTTCATTTTATATATACACACACACATTCTTTCCAACATGGGAGAACCTAAATATAAAAAAGCAAATGTTAATAGATCTTGAGGGAGAAATAGATTGCAAAATAATAATAATAGTTGGGTGCTTCCATACTCCATCTTTAATACAATAGATAGGTCATCCAGACATAAAATCATTAAGAAAACCTTGTACTTGAGCTGCATGTTACACCAAATAGACCTAACAGATATCCATAGAATATTCTACAATAGCAGAATACACATTATTCTTAGGGCATACACAACATTCTCCAAGAGAGGTCATATGTTATGCCACAAAATAAATATCAAATATTTAAGAATGCTGAAATTATATCAAGTATCTTTGCCAAATAAAAGCAGGAAACTATAAATCAATAACAGGGAATGTTGATATATTCACAAACATATAGAAATATATGAATGACATCCTCCTGACCTTCTAATAGTTCAATGACAAACTTGAAAGAAAAATTAAATGACACTTACAGACAAACATCAAAACACAGCATACTAAAACATAAGGTGCGGAAAAGGAATTTTCTAAGGGAAATAAGTATATAACTATAAATGCCTACATGATTTAGATCTCAAATAAATAATAAAGCTTCAAACTTTATACCTCAAAAAACTAGAAAATGAAGAAGTAACTAAATTAAAGATATTAAGAGGGAGGAAATAAAGATACACACACAAAAAAACAATATTAAGAAGATACTCAGGGGGCTGGGGATGTGGCTCAAGTGGTAGTGCGCTCGCCTGGCATGCGTACGGCCCGAGTTCGATCCTCCAGCACCACATACAAACAAAGATGTTGTGTCCGCCAATAACTAATAAATTAAAAAAAAAAAAAAGGGCTGGGGATGTGGCTCAAGCGGTAGCGCGCTCGCCTGGCATGCGTACGGCCCGAGTTCGATCCTCAGCACCACATACAAACAAAGATGTTGTGTCCGCCGAGAACTAAAAAATAAAAAATGTTGGAAATTCTCTCTCTCTCTCTCTCTAAAAAAAAAAAAAAAAAAAAGAAGATACTCAGAATGGAAATGGAAGGAGACCCTCAGGGTTATACAAATTACATACAAGAGGAAGTGAGGGGAAAGGGAAAAATAATACAAGGGGGAGGAATGAATTACAGTAGTGGGGGTAGAGAGAGAAGAGGGGAGGGGAGGGGAGGGGATGGGGGATAGTAGAGGATAGGAAAGGCAGCAGAATACAACAGACACGAATATAGCAATATGTAAAACAGTGGAAGTGTAACTGATGTGATTCTGCAAGCTGTATACAGGGTAAAATGGGAGTTCATAACCCACTTGAATCAAAATGTGAAATATGATATATCAAGAACTATGTAATGTTTTGAACAGCCAACAATAAAAAAATAAATAAATAAACAAAATAAATAAATAAAAATAAAACAAAAAAAAAGAAGATACTCAGAAAATACTATTAAGCATCAACAAACCTAAAAGCTGATTTTTTAACCAATAAACAAAATTGATAAAAGTTTAGCTAGACAAATATGGAAGTAAATAAATTTCAAGATGAAGAAGAAACATTACAGCTAATAGCACAAAAATACAAAATGTACTACAAATTCTCGTATGAAAAATTATACCCGCAATTTGGATGACCTAGAAGAAATGAATCTTTGTAGAAAGTTGCAACCTACCAGGACTGAATCATAAATACAAAATCCTAACAGACTGGTAATGAGCAAGGAGTTTGAATTAGTTATTAAAAATTCTTTTATGAAAGAAAAGCCCAGTACCTGATAACTTTACGCCCAAGACCTGGATGAACCCAACTCCCTTGTATAACTATAAAGCTTTAAAAAAAAATGCATCCTTTTCATGTCCTTCCCCAAAAAACTGATGAGTAGTAAGCACTTCCAAATTCATTTATGAGGCCTGCATTATCTTGACAAAAAAGCCACACAAGTATTCTATGAGAAAATTATAACCTAATACACCAGATGAATATCCCTGGTGAATAGAAATCCAAAACTCCTCAATATAAGATGAATTCAACAGCACACTTAAGGGATCATAAGACTCGCTCTTCTGTGATTTATTTCTGGGACTCAGAGATGGTTCAATAAATACCAGTCATTAAATGTTACCCATTACATTAACAGAATAAACTTTTAAAATCATTATTATTCAATAGATGAGGAAAAAGCAACATCATTTGATAATAAAAACACTCAAAAAATTTGGCATAGAAGGAGTTATTCCAAGACAATAAAGGCCATATACAAGTTGAATAATCCTAATCCAAAAATCCAAAATCTGAAATGCTAATACTTCTGAAACTTTCTAGACAATAATGCCCAAATTGGAAAATTCCACATCATGATTCTTTGCCTCATGCACAAAATTATTTGGAGTGTGCATATAACTATTTTTGGAAAATATTTATGTAGTGAATATGAAAACCAAATGAGTTTTGTGTTTAGGCTCAGGTCCCACCCCAGTGTATCATTATGTATACATAAATACTTCAAAACAACAACAAAAATGTGGTCCCAAGCATTTGTAATTAGGGATATTCAACTTACATTAGCGGTCCACAATTGGTATCACACTAAATGGTTACAAGTTAAATACTTTACCTCTAAGATCAGGACTAAGGCAAGAATATCTACTGTCTTAGTCCACTTTCATTTGCTATCATAGAACACCTACCATTGGGTAACCCTAGCATCCTCTGCTTGCCCCCAAATTCATGTCTTTCTCACACACAAAATAACATTTTTTTCATCCCAATAGTTTCAAAGTTTTCACTTCCTTCAGCATCAACTCAAAAGTTCCAAGTCCAAAGTCATTTAAATTGAATAAGGGTGAGACTCAAAGCCTAAATCATTCTAAGGCAAATTTTCTATAGCTGTGAACCTATGAAACTAAAACAAGTCATTTCCTTCCAAAATACAATGGGAAAACTGATATAGGATAGACATTTACTTTCCAAAAAATGGAGAAATAGGCAAGAAGAAAGGAGTAAGAGCCATCAAGTTCAGTCCTCAAGCTACAAAGTAATTTAATTCCATGTCTTGCTGATTGGAATCAGCAAGAAGATTGGAATCCCCAAGGAGTTCAACTTGATAGTCCTGTGGTTTTGTTGAGCTTAGCCCACTCTTCAGCCCTGTTGCACTGATGTGGTCTACAGTTCTGGGGTTTTGGGCAACAGTGCCTATCCCAAACTTGCCTCTATACTACCATAATGAGAACTGTATGTGATAGCTCTGTTGCCATGATTTCATTCGTCACTGCCCTAGCATGTATTCTGTGTTGTTTCTAGCTCTGAACCCACACTTCTGCTTAGCATTGTCCTAGTGGGAGATCAATGTGCTGGTTCTGTCCCATTAAAAGTCTCTGCCTGAGCCACTGGGTATGACCTTGAAATCTAGGAGGAGACTGCCAAACTTGCATAGCTCTTTGCAGACCTTCAGAATAAATTACTTTCATGTGAATGCTGCCAAAGTTTATGGCATGTACCCTCTGAGGCAGTGTGTCTAGCCATAACTTGAACTTTAACAGGGTATCCCCTTCTAGAATTTGTCCTTGGCAAGATCACTCACTTTCTTTTCAAATCCTTCAATACCTTCTCCCTGATAATCAAAGGGAGATCAGTAGAATAGAGAAAAAGAATCAGGGGGAGGAAAGAGGGAAAGGAAAAGGGAAATACTGAGAAAATATTGTCTAAATTATATTGATATGTTATGTACATGTATAAGTAAGTAACAATGAATCCCACTACTGTGTACAACTATAATGCACCAATAAAAAATATCGGGGGAAATCCCCTCCCTTTTACTCAGTATTTTAAGTTATAAGGAAAGGCCTCCCCTTCAGAGTCTAAATTCTGCAAGGCCTCACTTGAATAGTTTGGATGTCAAGCATTTCTTTGATTCCCAGAACTTAGGGGGCCTTTGTAACATTCTTCCTGTCAGCTTGCTTTGGGGGGTCAAAATCTATTGTGATAAGACAAATACACTCTCTGAGGAAGACCCTGCCCAGCCTCCAGGCTTAATTCATCCTTTCCTCTCCTTAAAAACCTTTTACTCCCTGAGCCTGAGGAAAATCAGAGCTTGAAAGAATTGTGTGTGATTCAGCAA